GATCATTCATGTTGCTGTGTGTGTGTTTGTCAGAGTCTTTACAGCTTGTGCTCATGACTGAATGTCTCTTGTGTTTGTTCGCTGGACATTCTGCGGTTTTGTGTTTTAATATTTGCATTTTCTCATTTCGCTGCATGCAGACCTCACAATGACAGTAAAGGTTTGTGATGGTGGTTCTGTGACCTGCTGGAGTCGATCAGCAGCCACCAGACTAAACCCTGAGATGTGATCCATCAACGGGCATCACATGTAGAATCATTATCACAACTGTAGTTTTGTTCTTTACAATAAAAACAATTTAAACCAAGTGAATCAGTCCAGATGTGCAGCATAAAGCAGATCAGATACAACAAATAGCATCAGCTGGAAAACAGACGAGAAAAGTGAGTTTTAGGAGATTTCAGAGGAAACATCCTGAACGGAAACATTAATAAAACGTTTTTAGATGTTTGTCTGTTTTCTTGCTCTCTTGCTGCCAGATGTTCTGCTTTAACCACTAACGAGCTTCTACAGATGTTTTACTGAATGTCCAGTCCAGAGGAGGATCATCACCGGGTCCATGCTTCTGTCTCTGCAGGTCCGAGGAGGTTCCCGTTGTTTCCCACCTGCTGCTGGTCTCGGTCTGACTCCGTCCTCGCCGCCGCTCCGCCCTTAGAACAGAACCGGCTCATCGTTCAGAGCGACACCAGGAGGCAGCCATGACGTCCCGGAGCCCGTTGGACTCGGTTCTGTTCCACGGCTCCACCAAAGGATAACCGCCAGTGACCTCAGCGGAACCGGACGTCGACCCAGACCCAGAGCTCGGACCTCAGCCTCCGGGCCTCGACCCCTCGGCATGATGGGAGACAGCAGCTGGGTGTGTCTGAGCCCGGCAGAGTTCAGCCAGCTGCAGCAGTACAGCGAGTGTAAGTGTGTGTGTAGGTGTGTGTGTGTGTGTGTTTGTGTTTGTGTGCTTTTGTGTGTGTGTGTTTGTGTGTTTTTGTGTGTGTGTGTTTGTGTGTTTTTGTGTGTGTGTGTGTGTGTGTTTTTGTGTGTTTGTTTGTGTGTTTTTGTGTGTGTGTGTGTGTGTGT